GAAGAAACAGTCATCCATCTTTAACCCGCCAGTGGTATTGCAAGTGCCGGCCCAGTCGGGGAAGATGAGACGACCGCCAAGTTCTTTAGAGAAACCGTGGTCGTGGAGCGCAGATGGCGGCATGTTGCAGTCACGGCCCAGTACCCGCGGGAGAAAAGTGGAGCCGATTGCAGGTCCGCAAGCAAATGTAAATTATATTCTGACATACCGTGGCCATCATAGAGATGAACTGGTGCGACGCACACTGCGATGCCACCAGGAATACAGGCTGTATCTGAAATCAACCGATTCGGGTCGGGATAATGAGCGTTCATATTCTGTTGAAGGCCCAGGCGGGACCTCGTGAAGATCGCCGCTCCACCGTGGGACCCCTGCCCTTCCCCAGGAGACGCTGGGCCCCAGAGGGGTCGCCGCCCTCTACGTGCAGGATCCTGCAGGATCTTGCAGGACCCTGCAAAGCCTGACTGACGCAGGTCTGGGTTGACCTGGGTCAGTAGATCCCCGAAACGGCGACGGCATCGCTATGTTCCCTCGGAGGGTTGGAGGAGGAGGATCTCTGAGACGCTTGGGCATGAAGTGCGCTATGCTGCCCAGCGGACCCGTGAGCCGCCGGACTGTGTATTTGGAAGGCCTTGCCTGTCTGTTGGTTCAGGCTGCTGGCTGACTGAGCGCGCGTCGTCGAGGCCCATGAAACACGTTGTGCAGGCCGCGTAAAGCTGACTCGGCCTATAGGCCATAGAGCTTAAATGCGACGCGACTGATGTGGCACACCTCGGCGAGCCGCCATAGCCAAATAAGGGGGGCAGGGGGAGACGAATCCCGAGGAGGAGGGTGGGAGGGGGAGCAGGAGGAGGAGGGGGCGCGAGAGAAGGCCCCGATTAGCCATTGTGGCTCAAGGTTTTGATTTGAGAAAGCGAAGTGGATGCCGCTGGTCCGCGGCTTCATTCTGTCGTTCGCCAGGTCGGCATTGGCTGAGCTGTTCGCTGGTCGGCTCCAGCAGCGGCGTCCACTTGCGAGAACCGCTCCGGCAGGGGAGCAGAGCAGTTTTTGACCGGGAGGTGCCAGGCTCGGGCTGCGGGACCTGCAGCGCGCGGAGCAGCGGCGGCAAGGCCAAATGTTTCCCTTGCGGCGCGCGGAGCCCCAATGGGGCCAAACAAATTGCTGCCAGCATCCCCAAGGGCCCCAAAGGGAGGTGTGCTGATGGATGGGTTACGTAGATCCGCAGCCCCAGGGATGGCGGTTTCTCCATCCGGGTAGGGTCAGGACGCTGAGAGAAGGACCGCTTTGGGTCCAGGGGAGGCTCTCATTTTTGGACCGCTCCTGAGATTTATTTCGTGGAACCTGTTTGTGACAGGCCCGCCGTGACCAGAGAATCCCTCTCTTTCCTTATTATGCGTTCCGTATGGCAACACGATGGCTGCGGATGGGGTCGGGGGATCAGGCCGTATTGCCGATGCTTCGGCGATGCGGTTCGATGTGGTGCCCGACTTTCTCCTCGCCGACGTCGCCAATGCATCGCCGATGTCGCCGATGCATCGTCGATGCATCGCCGATACATCGGCGATGCATTGGCGATGCGGCGCCATCCTCCGACCTCATCTGCTCGGATCATATCTAGGGCACCTCTCGAAACCGACTTCCGCAAAGACCACAGATATTGTAGTGGCCTCTGGCCAGTGCTGCCGATCCAGGGTGTTACCGAATCTACTTGCAACGGTTGACTTTTAATGCAGGGAAGCTATCTAAACAATCGCCCCCCCCCCGACCCCCCCCCAAAATGATTGAGTGAGGCGTACTAATAGAATTCAGCCGCCGGAAACTGTTTTTTTTTTGATCGTCCGCCCCCCGGCGTTTGCTGTTGCCCCTCTGGGGTAACTGATTTTCGATTCGTCCTCCTTCGCTCGCTTGATCACCCGCGGCCGCGGGGGGGGGGATTGCGGAGGGGGGGCGGGGCAATTGGGGAGTAGTTGAGGGAAGGGGTTTTTGAAGAGGCGCTTGATCACCCTCGTCCTTGCGGACGGCCGCCGGTCGTCCTTGCGGACGGCCGCGGCGATTGGGAGGTGGGGGATGAGGAGGAAGAGGAGGACCAGGAGGAGGGGGGAGGACAAGCTAGGTGCGCTCGCGTCATATATGACAGCCGACCCCTCCCTCCCATCCCTTACCATGGCGTAGGTCCCCTCTCTACTCGCACATTCGGGTGTCGAGCAGGGCAATGATCCCGAAAGGGTACGCGATGCATTGTGCAACACGGCGTGGCGTGGCGTTGAAGAGCACCGCAAAGCGGACCGCCCTGTCCCCTCTGGAGGCCAAAGGAGCACCAGCCTGCGTGACTGGCTGCGGACTGCGGCGCGCGGCGACGAGGACGAAAGGGAGGCGAGACAGCGAGAGGGCCGCCCTCGTCCTTGCGGACGGGGGGGGGGGAGGGGGGCGAACAGGAGGAGAACGAGGAGGAGGAATCGGAGAAAAAGGAGGAGGAGGGCGAGGAGGAAAAGGACGAGGAGGAGGAGGAGGAGGAGGAGGAGGAGGAGGAGGAGGAGGAGGAGGAGAAGGAGGACAAGGAAGAGGAGGACGAGAGGAAGAGGAAGAGGGGGAGGAGGGGGAGGAGGTGGAGGAGGAGGAGGAGGAGGACGAGGGGGACGAGGGGGCGGAGGAGGAGGAGGAGGAGGAGGACGAGCTCGCCCTGAAAATCACCCCGTCCACCCCCGTGGCCCCCGCGCCTTGGATCGCCCCCCCGTGCCCCTCCCCCCTGGCCTTCCAGGCGACCCGGAATTGTCAGCCCCCCGTTTGCCTGCCCTGCCCACTGCTACTGCGGGGGCGAGGAGGCCCGCGAAACAATTTGTTTAATCGTCCGCCCCAGAAAGTTATATGTATACATGTATATATACATATAATATACATATACATATACATATACATATACATTGTATATATATCGTTTCCTTTCATTCCGTTTTGAGAGTGGAGCACTCGTTCGAGACATCCTCACGTGGGAACTCGCGTGGGGACCTTCGGATATTTTGGGCTTCTTGGGGAGCACGCAGGAGGCATCCTGGAGGCCTCCAGGGGGTGTGCAGGAGGTAAGTGTTAAGCCTTCGGGGGGCGCTTTTGGGCGCCTTTTGGGGGCCTCTTGAGGTCCTCTTGGGGCCTCTCGGGGTTTCTTGTGAGGACTCCTAGGGCCACTTTGTTGCCTCTTGGGCCGTCTTGGGCCCTTCTGGGGCCGTCATGGAGTCCTCTTGGGCGTTTTGGGGGCCCGTCCTGGGGCCCGCCTGGGCTGTCTTGGGGGCCTCCGGGGCTGTCTTGGACCTTTCGTGGGCCGTCTTGGGCCCTCTCGAAAGCCTCTGAGCTTGTTTTGGGGGTCTCTTGGGCCGTGTTGGACACCGCGAGTGCCGAAGAAACGACAATGCAAAACATACAAAATTCCCTAAGGAATGGGACCCATGCCCGCCTTTGGACACTCTTAGGAGGTGTCGGGGGGGGCACGTTGGAGGCTTCTGGAGCCGTCTGAGGAACACATCGGGCGCCTTGGAGCGATGCTTCGGCCATTCAGGGCCCTCTTGGGCCGTCTGGGCGGCCGCTGGGTTTTTATGAGCCCGCGTTCGAGCTCTCTTAGGCGAGTGGCCGACCCGGAGTGGGTTGGAGCTCCGATTTCGCCACCAAAATTGACTCAGAGACCCTCCCCCCCTTTACCCCGGCAGAGCTTAGCCACCCCGGCACCCACCCCCCCAGCAGAGCTGAAGCTCAAGAACTGAGGCTTCGGCTATATTTGAGGGTCTCTGAAACTTACACGCCAGATCGGCGGACTCTCGTGTTTTGCGGAAGTACCTTTTTGCCTCTTTGCCCTTCCCTCGCCCTCCTCCGCTTCTGTACCTAAATTCGTGCCCGTTGCGTCCCGCCCGTATCCCGGTTCGGTGCCTGCATCAGCCTCGACTTTTTTTGCGCCCCGCTGACTTACAAATCCTGTTTGGGAATTTGTCTTCGATTCCAAAAACGCTCAGATCATTGTCCGAATTCGATTTCCAAAACATTGGAGGGGACTCTGTGTTTCTTGGAAGCCGAATCCGGTTTCAAAAAGGCGCAGGTATCTCAGGCCGACTCGAGTATAGCGCTCCCGCCCCCTGAGATCCAGGCGAGTTGGAGCGGTCTCTGGAAGGATGGCCCAAATGCCGCATTTACTGCAATTCGAGATCCAGGCGTTTCATCTGTTTCACCAAGAGCGTTTTCGCCTGGCTTGGGGCCCCGGGAGCATCACAGACCCGCCCAGCTCGAGACATGCCGCAGAAAGATCGTTGTTTTGGGTTCGGGCCGTGATTTGCCGCGTCGAGGAGGAGCGGGACGAGGAGGCACAGGAGGAGGAGGAGGAGGAGGAGGAGGAGGAGGAGGAGGAGGAGGAGGAGGAGGAGGAGGAGGAGGAGGAGGAGGAGGAGGAGGAGGAGGGAGAGGGGAGGAGGAGGAGGAGGAGGAGGAGGAGGAGGAGGAGGAAGAGGAGGAAGAGAGGAAGAGAGGAGAGAGGAAGAGAGGAGAGAGGAAGAGAGGAGGAAGAGAGGAAGAGAGGAAAAGAGGAAGAGAGGAAGAGAGGAGGAGGAGGAGGAGGAGGAGGAGGAGGAGGAGGAGGAGGAGGAGGAGGAGGAGGAGGAGGAGGAGGGGGAGGGGGATGGGGAGGGGGAGGTGTGGCGGAAGGGGGGAGGGCGAGGGCGACATCGAGAGTGACGCCAATGCGGGTCGTTGCGACGGTTTTCGCCAGCGATGGATTTCACGTTCTGGTAGTTCCCGCCTCTTTTGCCTTTCCCGCGTCCTCTTCCGCTTCTTGTGCCTGAGTTCGTTCCCGGCGTGTCCCGCCCGTCGCGTGCACCAGCTTCGATTCGCTTGCGCCCGCTGACTTCAACATTCGCTGCGACGCTGCAGATCCTTCTTTCTGATGCTGCGGTGCTGCGTTTTCCTTCTCGGCGTCCGACCTCGAAGGGGGGCGGCCCGCTGCCCCCCCCCGGCGCCTAACTCGGCAGGCGGGCGGTCGAGGCCGGGAAGGACATGACGAGGACCCCCCCGCCGCTGGTGGGGGATGGGGTCAGAGGCGACGATAGGGGCGAATAGCCCAGGGGAGAGCAATCCATGTATCCAGGTGCGCCGATGACCCATGTCCTCGATAAGGCTCCCGGGCGAATACGTGTAATGGTGTAATGCCCGCTCCTGGGCTATTCGCCCCTATCATCGCCGCCGAGGGGGAGGGGGGGGGGGGGGGCAACGCTCCCAACAAGGGGGTGCCCAGACCCCCTCGAGTCAGGAAGCAAAATCACGGCGGAAGGCGTTTCACATGCTCGGCCGTTGGGGGCCCTTGCTGGGCGTCGGAGCCGTCAATGAACGAGTCGGGATGAAGAACGCGTCCCTGGGATTGGGTCAAGACAGCCGGGGGTCCACGCCATGAACAGAACACGGCGTCGAGGGTCTGGATCGCGCGAGGGGGGGCGGCCTTCCTAGAACGCGGTGGAATTTCTGAGAAGGCATGGGGCCGTCTTGGAAGCCCTCCCTTGGCAGCCCCCCCGGGCTGCTGGCGAACGCTGGGGTGAGGGTGGTGCGACGCGAAAATAATGAGGTCAGAGCTCTAAACACAGGGTGCAAGAGAACAGATGGTCGATTTCAGCATCGTTGATGCACCCCCTCCTCCTCCTCCTCTTCCACTTCCACGCCCTCCTTCTCCTCCTCGTCAACTTCCTCCTCGTCCTCCTAATTACTCCTCCTTGTCCTCATCCTCCTCCTCCTCGTCCACGTGCGTCTCCTCCTCCTCCTCCTTCTCCTCCTCCTCGTCCTCCCCCTCCTTCCACCTCCCCCTCCTCCTCCTCGTCTCCCTCCTCCCTCACAGCCGATCCCCAGATCTCTTCAGGGGTGCGCTCTGGGTAGGGTCTCGAGGCGGACTCAGCCAGTGGCGATGTGCCCCCTCCCGCCCCCCCACCCCTCCCTGGAGGCCCCAAAGGGCATAGCGAAGAGCGACGTGGCGACTAGCCGCCCCCTCCCCGAGGCCCCCAACGAACGACAAATTCGAGACGCTTCGCGCAACCCCACTAGCCCATCCAGACGCGATGCCCTGACGAGTTGCCCCGATCAGGGATGTGGAGGAGCATGCAGTTGAATCGTGAAAGGGTTGGGCAAGCCTGGTTAGGACGTCATACCCCAAGAGGGGGAGGATGGATCAGGAATCGGAGGAGGAGGATGAGGAGGAGGAGAATGAGGAGGAGAAGGAGGAGAAAGAGGAGAAGGAGGAGGAGGAGGAAGATGAGGAGGAGGAGGAGGAGGAGGAGGAGAGGTAGGAGGAGGAGGAGGAGGCGGAGAAGGAAGAGCCGGAGGAGGAGGAGGAGGAGGAGGAGGGAGAGGGGGCGGGGGACAAGCTAGGTACGCTCGAGCCTCATCTAACATCAGATCCCTCCCTCCCATCACTTTCCATGGCGCTGGTTTTCATTATCCGCGGACGCGTGTCACAACCGACCTGTAATTCCCACAGAAAGACCACCTTTTGGTATGCGCAGACGACAAATGGAGCTGCGTGCACAGGAGAAAGAGGTGGCGGGTGAGCAGGATTACGAGTGGGAGAAACGGATGAGGATGAACAGCAGCAGCAGGAACTGAAGCATACGGATAGGGATGAAAAGGATAACCAGGGGCAAGGAGGGGAAATAAGGGGGCGACAACGATGAAGAATCGGATTCAGAAACGTGGCCCGCGCTGGGGCGAGCCGAACGGCGGCAGCAGACACTCGAGTGGAGCGGGATGCACAGGCGGACCAGGGGAAGGCGGAGGAGGAGAAACGAGTGGGGGACCACAACGAAGCAAGACTCGGATTCGAACAAGTGGACCGCGCTTGGGCGAGAGCGCCGTTCTGAACTACGGGATCAAAGCGCCGATCCGAATATGAAGCCCACGCTGCAGCGGGAGCATTCTTTGGAACCGCGCATCTAGTGTATACGTTGCTGGTCGGCTCTCCAGGCGGCGTGTGTTGAACAAATTAGATGCGTTGTGTTTGGACCGCCACTTGCCACACGTTAGTGGACGAACGTGACATAGCGTAGTGGACAAGTTCCTGGCCCCGAGGGGGCGTGTATATGAGGGAACCCAACAGGGAGGGGTCGTACGTCACGGCCCGAGGCATGTGCGCGGAGGGAGGGGGGACCGAACGACGCATTGAACGAAGAAGAAGGGGCCATGGAATTCGGAGAATCATAGCCCAGGTCATGATCTGCCCCAACCCAGTCGTCACCCCTCTCTTCGCCGCCCCCGAGCACCGAGGATCGAGAACTGTGGAGCGCCTCCGATGCTTGAGGCTCGAACATCGAGGGTCGAACATCCAGGATCTTACATCATGGGGGATCCGAGGTCGACCATCGCTGATCCAGCATCGAGGACCGAGCCTCGAGCACCGCGGATCAAAAATCCAAGATCGAGGGTCCGATGCCGAGGATCGAACATCGAGAATGAACTTTTTTGGTCGTTCCACCAACTCTTTAAGGTGTGAGTGGTGTAGTGCTGTTCATCTTACAGCACCCTCCTTCCCCTTCGGGGAAGGGTCCGCCCCTCCCCCCAACCTCCCCCCCTGGACCTGGAGAGGGGGGCGGAGGGACGTTGGACCGTCCAGGACGGCCTCGGCGAGAGGCACACATCAGAGATGTTTTTTTTATATGGTTTTGGGCATATGTTGGCCTCCTTGGGGAAGGGGGGGCGCTAATTTACTACGGCCCCTCCTTTGATCGATCTCCTCCCCAGAGGCTCCCAGGGGTGCCCCAAGTCGGCCCCAAGAGGTGCCCAGGAGGCCCCAGGAGGCCCCCAAGAGGCCCACAAGAGGCCCCCGACGAGGCCCCCAAGAGACCCCCAAGAGGTCCCACGAGGCCTCCCAGATGCACCCAAGACGCCCCAAGAGGCCCCTGAGACTGCCAAGAGACCCCCAATATGCCCCAAGAGGCCCCCGGGACTGCCAAGAGACCCCCAAGATGCCCCAAGAGAACTCCAAGAGGTTCCCGACATACATCCAAAGAGACTCCGAGAGGCATGTCCAAGAGGCGTCTGGCACTTCTGCTCGCCGTCCACATCATCCCTTATTAATATGTCTATTCCTCCTTCCTCCCTCCTCCACAAGTAAACAATCTGAATACTACTCTTTCTCCTCCCCTGAAGTTGTCTGAAAGATCTCCCGCCCCCTCCGCGTGCCGTTCCTTTTTTCCCAACCATCCTGTGGTGTTGGGTCCTCGTTTTGAAGAGACAGCGCCCCGCGTCCCACCTCCTCTCCTCCTCCTCCCCCTCCTCGCCCTCCTCCCTCCTCCCCCTCCTTGCCTCTGCTCTCGGCACACCCCTCACACGTTTCGTAGCCCCATAGGGAGCTCCACCGAAGGTCCCAGTGGCACAGCCCGCATGCGGTTCCCCCACCCAGGGCAGCGTTTCGTAGCCCCATAGGGAGCTCCACCGAAGGTCCCAGTGGCACAGCCCGCATGCGGTTCCCCCCACCCAGGGCAGCGTTTCGTAGCCCCATAGGGAGCTCCACCGAAGGTCCCAGTGGCACAGCCCGCATGCGGTTCCCCCACCCAGGGCAGCGTTTCGTAGCCCCATAGGGAGCTCCACCGAAGGTCCCAGTGGCACAGCCCGCATGCGGTTCCCCCACCCAGGGCAGCGTTTCGTGGCCCCATAGGGAGCTCCACCGAAGGTCCCAGTGGCACAGCCCGCATGCGGTTCCCCCACCCAGGGCAGCGTTTCGCCCCATAGGGAGCTCCACCGAAGGTCACAGTGGCACAGCCCGCATGCGGTTCCCCCACCCAGGGCAGCGTTTCGTAGCCCCATAGGGAGCTCCACCGAAGGTCCCAGTGGCACAGCCCGCATGCGGTTCCCCCACCCAGGGCAGCGTTTCGTAGCCCCATAGGGAGCTCCACCGAAGGTCCCAGTGGCACAGCCCGCATGCGGTTCCCCCACCCAGTACAGCGTTTCGTGGCCCCATAGTGAGCTCCACCGAAGGTCCCAGTGGCGCAGTTCGCATGCGTTCCCCCCACGCAGTACAGCGTTTCGTTGCCCCATACGGGGCTCCCCCGAATGCGATACCCACAAATGCATATGGTTGGGTTCTTCGCCAGGCTAATTACATACATTATGTAAATCAATGGTTCGTATGGTTGCTTTGCAGTCCGATTGTTTTCGGCAGTCCTGTGGGCGTTTCTGCGAAGCCAAAGCCCCATGGGACAGGGCCCTCACCTCATGTGGTGTATATGCGCGCGGTTCCCGTCCCTGGTCGATGTTCGATCCGCCCGCTGCTCCTGAGAAGCTCGTCCTGCCCAGGTTCGGCGCGGCTCTGGCGAGCTCCCGGCTCGAGAAGCTGGCCATCTCGTTCAACGGTTGCGGCGACCAGGCCGCCCCTTTTTCGGGGGGCGGGGGGGGGTGCGCGGGGTGCCTTTTGAGGAGGAGGAGGAGGAGGAAGAGGAGGAGGAGGGAGGAGGAGAGATGAGGAGGAGGAACAGGAGGAGGAGGAGGTGGAGGAGGAGGAGGAGGATGAGGAGGAGGATGAGGAGGAGGAGGTGAAGCGAAGACGAACATGGTACAGAAAACTTGTTGTTTGACCTCTGCGCGGCTTTCTTCGATCTGCGGTGGAGCCCTCTTGGCAGCGCCTCTAACGCCGCCCGTAGCGCACTTCGCGAGCCAGGGAGGGGGTCCAGCGCCGATCCAACAAAGTCCGCGCGGAACTCCGAAAGTCATATTGTTCCACAGCGGGGCTTTTTGTTTTGGGTTTTAGGCATTGGGGCCATCACAGATCGGTCCGGCTGGAAAAGTGCCGCAGAATGATTTTGCCTTGGGCTCCAGTTGCGATTGTTCTCGATGCTGTAACTTTTTTGTGACGTCCGACGTCAGGGGAGGGCGAGCTGGAAGGGTTTTGCAGGCGATTCCGTAGATCCCCAGAGGGTTTCTGGCCTCGGGTTGTGGGGCGTTGCGCCACGGTGTGGCGACAAAATGGAAGGTGCGCCAAAGTCGGGGCCCGGCAGGGGCCTTCCAGAGCCCGAAAAGGAGCACGACATGTGCGCGTTTCTTCGCCCCCTCATGAATCGCCCCCCCTCCCGCGTAAAGCCACGCCCAAGGCTGCTCTCCAGCAGCGCTGCGCCTCCCAATGGGCGTCCCGTGGGATGCCCCGAATCGGCGCCGAGCGGCCCCCTGGGGCCCGAGGCGTGACCCGACAACTCCGGCGCCTCGAAGAGATCGGGGCGGCCAGCGTGTCGCCATTGTTGGCCCGCGGAGGTAGGAGCCGACTGTCGGTCTGAGGTGGCGCAGCAATGGCTCTGGCCAGCAGGAAGGAAGGGCAGCTTCGAGGTTCTGGATTCGGGCCGTTTTTTTATGTCTGTTCCGCCTCTGGTCTTTTTCGGGTTTCGGCACCCAGGATTGAGAAGCACGGATCTGGGGTGAACAATTGTAGCGCGGATTTGGCCTCATGCCCCCCCCCTGGCCGATTTGCTGGCGTGCCAGCTCAGACCCCCCGGGCCGCCTCCAACCCGAAGACTGGTTGCGGTCCGATCGATCCGATTCGATATCGATTCCAGCTGGCTTGCAGCTTGGCCCGATTCGATGCCGACGCATCCGATGCGGCCCGATGCTCGCACGGCGCTGCTGCGAGTCCTGGCGCAGCCAATCTGGTTCGATTCCGACTCCGTGCCGATGCAGCCCGATCCGACGCACAGTCCGATTCGACAAGATCTCCGAGGGCCACCACGAGGGTGCGAAGTTCGTCGCGCTTCGCGGTTTGGGCGATTTCAGAGCCATGCGCGAGTCCCTCATCCTTGTCCGCGGGGAGCTCGGCGCTCTGAGGGGCAGGGAACACAGCTCCACGACGACGACGGCGGCGGTGGCGAGTGGCGCTGACAGGCGATGGCCCCAGACATCCCACGACTAGTTTTTATCCCATGCGCGGCCCCCAAGTCCCCCCGACCCCGTGCCTGGGGCCAGTTCGCCCCGGATCCGCTCTTGATTGCCCCCGGGCTGGACAGTGGGCCCCAGAGGACGAAGTCGAGGAAGACCGCCCAGGTTCACAGACATCATGTCGTCGGAGGTTTGGGACGTCGGCGACGTCGGTGACGACGATACCGTCGACGCCGTCGAGGGTGGCCGCGGCGGCGACTCGGAGGCTGGCGGTCGTCCGTGCGGCGGGCCGCCGCCAGGTCAGCCGCGAGCAGCTCTCCGCGCTCACGACCAGCCTGCCCTCGACACTGCGCGACCTGAACCTGGAGCGGCCCACTCCTGGGCCTCCCAGATGTGATGGGCCGATTTCCCACCACCAATACCGAAGAGGACCCAGAGGCGCCCCAGGACGACGTCGGAGGGGCCCAGGACGGCCCAATCGGTTTTCACTAAACGGCCAAAGAGAGCCCTTAGAGCTTAGAGGGCCTCAAGCTCCAGGAGTCCTTCAGGACGCTCATAAGAGGCCCCCCCCGAAGGCTCCCGAGGGGTTCCCCAGAGGCCCGCCAGAGGCCTCCAAGAAGCCCCTGATAATCATTCCGCGGCACTCCGAGAGGCATCGAGGCGTCCCTGACCCAAGTCCCGAGGCGCAGGTACTCTTTGCATTTGCATGTGTGCAATTCCCCACTCAGTGCTTGCACTGAGGGGGTCGGTAATTCGTCCGTCTCTGCTCGGTCCAGGTTATTGATGTTTTTGTTCCCCCCCGTGTTCAGACCATGGGTGTAACCACTTCAGCGGAGCTGTAAGTTTCGCGCGGGACGAGGGGCGGGGCCTGGAAAGCACAAGCAAAACGCGTCCCAGACAGCAAGCGCGCATTGGAACACGCTCACTCCGTGCAGGCACGGTGGCGGACCTGTCACACCAAACCTCCACGGACCCACACAGCGCACAAGGCGCCCACTCCGGGCATCAGGCGAGAGCCTGAGCCGACCCATGCTTTTCAAGGAGAAGTCTGAGCCTCTAAGCGCAAGAGCTGTCCAGGGCAATACGCACGTTACAGCATTCGAGCTTCAGGGTCCCTCTCCTCCAGAACCCTCCAGGAGGAGCCCTGCCGTCACGATGAGCAGCCCCACAAGGCACGATCGCCGATCTAACCGCATCCTTGGAGCCGCACGTCATCCCAATCAGCCGCATAGAACGGGACAATCGTTGGGCAGAATCACGCGCAACCACAAGCAGGCGTCCATTGTTCCGTTGCCTCCTTTGCCCCCGCAGACCCTCGAGACGCGCCCAGACAGTCCAAGAGAGTCACAGAAGCCTCCAAGAGGCTCCCAAAATGCTCCCAAAGAAGGCCCCACGAAGATTTGACAGTTCACGAGATTCGTTCTTCCTCGTACGTGTCCTCTTTCATCTTTTCCCCTCGTCCTCGTCCTCGTGCAGTCCTCCTGCTCCCCTCGGTGCCCTCCCTGTCATCCACGCTGTCATCCTCGCTATCCGCCGCCTTGTCGTCGCCATCATCCCTTTCCTTCTTTCCCCCACGAGCCCAAATGTCACAACATCGGCGCTTCCCGCTCCTGTCCGACCAGGTTTGAACCTCTTTTGAAGCAGGAGTCTCAGAGACAGGTTGCTATCAAGAATCGCCCCCTATTGGGGGATGCTGTATGACCAGGTGTGGTCTCGCTGCTGACTGAAGTCCTTCCGTATTCTGCCGTCTTCTTCTCCTTTGCCCCCCTTCCACATTTACACCATATGAATCCTACTCTCCTCTCTCCCCTGACTCTATCCGGAGAATGTCCTGTTCTCTCCGAGGATTTCATTATTTGTTTTTGCGACGTGGTTTTCCAATCGGTCGTGTCTTGTTCTTCCAAAGTGGTGTTCCCGCTGCAGCGACGCCCTCATTTCCGCGCTTCGGTCATTCAACATCGTGTTCCCGCTGCAGCGCTGGTTTCGTTCCCGCGCCTCCGGACGGCACTTGGCAGTCGAAAGCGCCCACATCGGGCAGGCACGGTTGCGGAGAACATGGAGCCGGCATTCCGGACAGGCTTTGTCCTCTCGTAGACGGGCCATTTACCCTCCGTGTCACTTGGTGCCATGCCACGGCATGCAATGCAGTGTTGTGCACCGTTGTGTTATGCCATGTTTTGCGTTGCTATGCTTTGTGATGCAATGCTTCACTGCGCAATGCCACACCATGCTATGACACGCTATGCTTTGCCGTGCTCGTCTTCGCCATGCTTTTCCATCCCTCGCGTACCCTCTTGGGACCATTGCCCTGCTCGACATCCAACTGTGCGAATAGATCGGATATCTCCGCCATAGTAAGGGATGGAAGGGAGGGGTAGGACGACAGATGTGACGCTAGCGCACCTAGCTTGCCCCTTACCCTCTCCCCTACGCTCCCTCCCCTCCTTCCCTCCGTTTTTCCATCTTCCGCAGGACTTCACTGGCTGCCGCGAGTTCGACGATTCCGCCTCGCGCCCAGCCGTGCGCGAGTCAGGGCCAGGTACCTCCCCCCCCCCTCGGTTCCATCCCTTTTGAAGGCGGGGGACATGGAGGGGGGGAATCAGAGAAAGACCCTGATATCCTCGCGATGTGACGTGAACGGTGGAAGGTATTTGGCCGGTTCCGCCCTCTGGGAGCTCTCACCAGGGCCCGAGATTGCAAAGCAACAACTCAGTATGAAAAGCCTGTTCAGGGGAAAGGGTCCAGACATCTGAGGGGCCATGCTGTGAAACAGTAACGACGTCGGACTTCTGGGTGGGAGGTCGGAGGAGGAGGAGGAGGAGGCAGGATCAGGAGAAGTCCAGGAGAAGGAGGAGTAGGACAGAGAAATTTGGGAAGACGGGAAGAAGTGAAAGAAGTCGTCGTCTTCTCCCTCCTCTTCCTTCTCCTCCCTCCTCGTCCCCCACTTTTTCAGCGCCAGCTCGAGAGGCCCCCCCGCTCGGGCCTATAGCCAGCGCCCGGGCGCCCACGGCGCCGCCCCTCCCCCGAGCGCCCCCCCCCCCCCCGGCCCTTCCAGGCGCGCACCCCGCCGCCGCGCGCCGCGCGGCCGCCGTGGAGCCTCCTCCTCCTTTTTGCTCCTCCCTTTTGCTCCTCCTCCTCCTCCTTCTCCCCCCTCCCCCTCCTCCTCCTCCTCCTCCTCCTCCTCCTCCTCCTCCTCCTCCTCCTCCTCCTCCTCCTCCTCCTCCTCCTCCTCCTCCTCCTCCCTCCCCCTCCTAGACGGCCTCCGACCGGCGGTGGCCCGCCGAACCCATTACAGAAGGGCAGATGCACGTGTGCCGCAATCCACGCCGCGGTCCTTCCAAGCCCTGGGCACAGGGGCAACCAGCCGTTCCTTTTGGGGCGGGCTCTTTACTCCGCCCTCAACTGCTGTCCTGCTCCATCCCAGGCTTTCTTCATGCTGTCTCATCGGGCGGCCGTGGGGTGCATCCCTCCGCCTCAGCTGGCGGCTCTCCGCACGGGGGACCGTCCTCGAGGACCACGTGATAAACCCCAGCGGCGCTCAGGAGCGCCCAGGTAGGCGTCTGGGATCTTGAGACTCCTACCTGCCCTCCACCTCCCAGGGCTGCGTGAGCCTTGGCGCACACCACTACGTGCTGAAGGCACGGCGTCGGATGTGTTGCGTTGCAGCTTCGGGGGGCCGCGTCTGTGCTGTACAATAGTATATGGTGGTCCCTCTCTGGTGCCTGACGTGTGTTCGTCGCGGATTCGTCGCAGATCCGATGTTGGTTCGACACGGATTCGACGCGGATTCGACGGATTCGACGCCGATTCGACACGTTCGATGTGGATTCGATGCGGGTTCGACGCGGATAGCGGCGCCATGGGACAGCCTAGGTCCGCCAATGATGCAACAGAAGATCGACCCCGCCTCTTCCTTCTCACGCGGCGTGGTTCGGGCGCAGAAAGGGTGAAGGAGCGCGCGACTCCCTGACTCGGTGTGTGTGTGTGTGTGCATTTCGACAGCGCGGCGTTCGAAAGTAGAAGAGGCGGGTCGAAAGTAGAAGAGGGCAGGGGTTGGCGCATGGCCATGCGGACAGTGCTTCTGTTGCAGAAGGTCGTTGCCGTCCAGACCAAACATGCAGCCGTCGTTGGGGCGAGAGCACCATTCTTGAATCCGTTGTGAAGAAGTCTCAGGCCCACCTGCTGCCGGACCGCGCTCTCCAGGGCTTCCCGTTCTTCTTTCGGGACTCCTGTGTGGGGCCCGTTTGCTTCCTATCAGAGCCCTTCTGCGAAGCGCTATTCCAGCCACGCTGAGGTCAAACGCGCAGACGGGGAAAGGCTTCTTAGAAGCAGCCTCCTTCTAAGAAGCCTCTCCCCCTCCCCTGAATCACCCTTTGTGCCCAGGGACAACTACTGGGGATAATGGGCCCGGGGATGCAAAGGCCATCCCCAGGGAAGCAGCCGAGAGCCTCGGGGACCGCGGGTTGGCACAAGAGTAATCCCTGCCGGCAGCCTGGGGGCGTTTTCCGAGGGCCGGCCTCAGGATCGGGCAGTGGCAGACCCCCCAGAAAGGAATATTCTGCGCAGGCGTAGAACATCGTCGAACCTCGGGAACAGAAGGAAAGATATGGGAGGCAGAGAGGGAGGACGAACATCCAGAACCTATTTGAAGAACTGGGAAATCCCTGGGCCCCTGCAAACACCCTTTCCCAAAACGCTCTTCAGTGAAAGCTGCCAGGGGCACACCTCGTGCGCACGGCGTCGCATTCCGAGTGGACCCCAACGGGGCAGTTAATCCACGTCCAAAGACGACTCAACGTATTCGGCGAGACGCGCGTCGATTGTGCCCCTTTCTTAGAGCCCTTTAGCGAAACGCCCTAGTGGCCTCAGGGAAACATGCCTCCCCTCTGCGCCGAGGCCGCGCGCGAGCTGGCCGACCATCTGCCGCCGACGCTGCTCCGCGTGCGGCTGACCTTCGATGACTGCAGCCACCTCACCGACGGGGGCCTGCCGGGGGTCCCGCTCGCTGATTGTCCGTTGGCTCTTTTCGTCGTCTTTTCCATCGTTTCGGCGGAGCGCCGAGGGGGGCAGCCAGCCACGCGCAGAGGGCGTTGGGGGGTGTGGGGAGGGCTTCTTAGAAGCTGCCTCCTTCTAAGAAGCCCTCCCCTCTCCCTCCACCCTCTTGTGCGCGCCGCCGAGGCAGTGAGAGGGGGCAGGCTTTCTCAGCAGGCGGCGCGGCTTCTTCTCGGAAGCCCTCCAGCCTTCCGAGCTTCCTCAGCAGACCGGGGGCCTTCTGAGAGCCTTCTGAGATGGCCCGCCACCTCTGCCTTCCGCCCTGGGCGGGCTGGTGGCCGTTGTCTCCATCCATTCGATTCGTTTTGGCTCGAAAGCGGTGTGATGGTTGCAGCTTCCACCTGCTGGGTTCTTGCGCGAACGTTTTTTGTTTTTTTTGTTTTTGTTTCGGGGCTTCCTGAGTGTACCCGTGCGCACTTTCCAGAGAGCTTTGGGCCCATGCGCACGCGCTCCAGCGGGCGATCAGACTGACCGCGAGGGCTGACGTCCACGACGTGGGTTTCACAAAGGAGGTTCGGCACTCGGGCACCATATTCAGCCCGCTTCGGCACTTAGCGGGCCCTAGAGGCGACGGGGCGGTTCTTCCACGGGCTCCGTTTCGCAGTTGTCTTGCCGTGGTGGCGCAGGTGTTTTCCAGGTTCCGTTGTTTGTTTCGGTTCCGGTTCGGCTCCAGTCCCAGAGCCGTTGTTGTGCTGTCGCTTCCAGGAACAGTTGTTTTCCCTTCTCATGTTCCGGAGACGGTCTGTTGAAGACAGTCTGTTGAGACAGTCAAGCTGCGGCACATCTCCACCGCACGGACGAAACAGCTCAAAAAAGCGTCAAATACACGCGCAGCAGGATGGGGCCCAGGACAGACGCGGACAGGATGCCACAAGGGGGGGAGGGCCAGGATCGATTGACAGATAGTGAAGTCGAGCTCAAGTGTCCCTTGTGAAGTCGAGCTGAAAGGTCCCGTCATAACGTCCTCGCCTCCGTCGCGCCTTGAGACCAGCACGATAACGAGGCGGTCCTCCTCAGCAGTCTCCCGTTGTACCCCATGGGACTCGGGCGTGGCGAGGAGCGCAGCATCGTCGGCACAGCCAGGCAGGCAGTGCACAATGCAGCCTGGTGCCACGAACCACCCCACGTGACTCGATGCAGGCGGGACGGAGCGAGAGCATAGAGCAGGCCGCCGATGCCCGCGGTGCCGTCTCCGCTCGCTGCGCGCGTTGAGTACTGTGGAGCCGGTCTCGAGCCGGTTCTTGTCGGGCCGGTGGTGGTGGTGGGGGCTGACCAGAATGGGGGTGAATAAAAGGGCCCTGAAGGGACCCTCGAGGCCCCCTTTGGAGCCAGCTGGTGCCCACAAGGGGCCCTAAAGGGTCCCTGGAGGGCCTTTTTCTTCACCCCCCGTTTGGGTCCCCCCCGCCATCACCCGCCCGATCTTGCTCGAGCTGGACTTCAAGGGTCGCACGATGCCGGCTTGAAGGCGAGCTCGCCGAGCACGTGACCCAGTCTGCCAACATCGCAGATCGCGCCTCGGGCCGTGTCAACGAGAGCAGGGCGCGCCCCATGGAGGAGAAGACCGAAGAGCTGCGCCCTGCGTCTGACGTCGCCAGGAGCTGGACGAGCTGGAGGCTTGTCGAGCGCCTGGGGCCGTGAGACCCGTGGGCGAGGCTCGCGAGCGACAAACCTATCCGTATCCTTGGCCTCGTGGGCCAGGTCCTTGGGCGGCGAACCCGCGGATACGGGGCGTTTGTTCGCGGGCGCTCCACGCGGAACGTACCCGTGCGACCTCGTGTCCGCAGGATCGCGCCCCGGAAGCCAGATCCAGACCGCGAGGGCGTGGGTCTGGATGAGCCTGAAGACGAGCGGCAAACGCCGGGGAGGGCCGCTGGTGCCTCCACTGGCCCACCCCGGGCCGCCGACGATCCGACTCCATGCGCACAGCGATCCATTTTCTCACCACCCACCACACCACCCACCACACCACCCCAACCCAACCCGAAGGCCCCAGTTTGCCCTGCACTCCCAGAGGGGAGTCGTCGGGGAACATTGAACGAACATGTGAAGCACGTACCCCCCCCCAAACCCCAGCTTTGGGTCTTCGGGGTGGGTTGGGGTGGTCTGGTAGGTAGTCAGTTTCGATTCGATCTGGAAGATTGACAGGCGATCTGGCCCGCTTCCGATCCGATCCGATTTTATGAATCGCTCCAGCTCAGGCTCGCTGAGGTCCAGCATTCCTGCTGACTGGAGGCAGGGTTCCCCCAATCAGTGCTTGCACTTGGGGTTTCTCGCCTCTGTTCTCAGGAGCTGGCCCTGAATGGCGGTCCGGCGGCTATGTTGTCGTCTTCTCCGCCCCTTCGCCGCCTCTTTGCCGCCCGTCGTCTCGGCCTGTCAGTCGGTCCTGCAGCTTATGTTGTCGCCGTCGCTGCCTCGTCGCCGCCCAGCGAGTGGGCCTGAATGGCGGTCTAGCGGCTATTATGTCGCTATCGCCACCGCGCCGCCGCCTCGTCGCCGCCCGTCGTGTGGCCCTGAGTGTGGGTCTTGCGGCTAGGGTGCACAAGACAGATTCTCCCTTCCTTGCAAAGAATGAGACGAAGTGCATGCGCGCGCGTCGTCGCGCCCGCATGCTGAAATGATGAACGCGCGCGCGCGCGTCGTCGCGCTTCGTTTCCGGAAGGATTGCAACATCGAGTTTCCAAAATACATACAAAAACCGTTGGTTTCGCAGCATTGGTTTTCTAAAGGAGCTTACACTCGCGCTCTTGCGAAATCTTATATATAAAAAACATTTATTGAAATACTTTCAAAAACATACTACAAACCGGGCTTCGCGCGCGCATGCCGAAATCTTTCGAAGGCCCTTGCGCGCGTTCCGTCGCGAGAAACCTCTACAAAAAATGAGAAGAAATTCACGCGCTCGCGTCGCCGCGCGCGCATGCCGAAATCCTTCCACAACCTCCAGTTTCGGAAGGATTTCAAAATCAAGTTTCCAAAACACACACACACACAAAAGCACCGGGTTTTGCAACGCTGCTTTTCAACAACAGCGTGCGCGCGCGCTCTTGCGTCGTCGTCGTCGTCGCCGTCCTCCCTCCTCCCTCGTCGTCGTCCTCTCCGTCGTCGTCCTCTGTCTTTCCTGGTCGTCGTCGTCGTCGTCCTCTTTGGCGTCGTCGTCGTTTCCGTCATCGTTGTCGCCGTGGTCGTCCTTCCTCCTCCCTCGTCGTCGTCGTCGTCGTCGTCGTCCGTCGTCGGCGTCTCGTCGTCATCCCTCCTATTTCGTCGCCGTCGTCGTCGTCGTGTTCCCTCCTCCCTCGTCGTTGTCGTCGTCAGTCGCCGTCCTCCCTCCTCCCTCGTCGTCATCGTCGCCGTCCTCCCTCCTCCCTCGTCATCGTCGCCGTCGTTGGCGACGTCGTCGTCGTCTTCGTCGTCGTCGTCGGCGTCGGCGTCGGCGTCGTCGGCGTCGTCCTTGTCGTCGGCGTCGTCGTCGCCGTCGTCGTCGTCGGCGTCGTCATCGTCGTCGTCGGCGGCGTCGGCGTCGTTGTCGTCGAAGTCGTCGTCGTCGGTGTCGCCGTCGTCGTCGTCGTCGTCGGCGTCGTCGTTGTCGTCGTCGTTGTCGTCCTCCCTCGTCGTTGTCGTCGTTGTCGCCGTCGTCATCCTCCCTCCTCCCTCGTCATCGTCGTCGTCTTTGTTGTCGACGTCGTCGTCGTCGTCGTCTTCGTAGTCGTCGTCGTCGTCGGCATCGTCGTCGTCGTCGGCGTTGTCGTCGTCGTCCGTGTCGTCGGAGTCGTCGTCGCCCTCGTCGTCGTCGGTGTCGTCATCGTCGTCGTCGTCGGCGTCGGCGTCGTCGTCGTCGAAGTCGTCGTCGTCGGTTTCGCCATCGTCGTCGTCGTCGTTGTCGTCGTCGTCGTCGTCGTCATCGTTGGAGACGTCGTCGGTGTCGTAGTCGTCGGCGTCGTCGTCGTCGTCGTTGTTGTCGCTGTCGTCGTCGGGGTCGTGCCAGGTGCCATTCGGTACCCACCGTCACGGTCTTAAGAAGTCTTGTGACGAAGTTGCGGGTGGGAGGGTGGGATGTTTGCACGAGTAGTGGAGAGGACAGTTTCAAGACAGCCAAAGTGAGTTGCACATTGTAAATAGCACCGTACAGCTTGCACAACAGAGATCCTCCTTTCTGAAAAGAACATATGTTCTACAACCCTCTCCCCGGGGGTAACGATCCCTGGGAACCGATGCAAAACACATAGGATTCTGACCCGATGTCCATCCTACCTGTGAATCCAGATTCTCCCAGCCAAACTGGTATCGACCCCCCGCCATCCTCGGCAACGAAAACTATGCGCGCACACTCGTTTATAAAGAATTAGATGTTTTCAAGAATCCCTTGCAAAGAATGGGACGAAGTGCCCACGCGCGCGTCGTCGCGCGCGCATGCTGAAATCCTGCAACAATCTTTGGTTTCGGAAGGATGTCATAATCGAGTTTCCAGAACAACATACGAAAACACAGGGTTTCGCAGCACAGATTTTCTAAAAGAGCTTACGCGCGTGCTCTTGCGACATCTTCAGGAAACCACCGGTTTCTATGACTTTCAAAGAATATTGCTAAACAGGCTTCACGCGCGCATGCCGAAATCTTTCGAACGCCCTTATGCGCGTGCCGTCGCCAGAATCCTTTTGCAAACAACTGGACGAAGTGCACGCGCGCGCGTCGTCGCGCGCGCATGCCGACATCCTGAGCCTTCGTTTTCGGAAGCATTTCAAAATCGAGTGCCCAACAAACATATAAACACAGGGTTTCGCAACACTGATTTTCAACAAAAGCGTGCGCGCGCGCTCTGTCGTCGTCGTCCTCGTCGCCGTCCTCCCTCCTCCCTCGTCGTCGTCGTTTTCGTCGTTGCCGTCGTCGTCCTATGTCTTTCCTCGTCGTCATCGTCGTCGTCCTCTTTGGCGTCGT